TGCTCGTTAATCAATGGTAACTAATAAACTAAGAGAACATGATGATGATGATACAAAAACAAACTTCTCAATTGTCCATTGTTCATTTAATATACTCATTACCCCAACAAATTTTGGAATTATCATTAACAACAAAATTTGTAATAAATTGTTGTGGCCTGCAATAACAAACCATTGATAAGAACAACTCAAGGACAACATCAGTTTGTTTGTATGGCATTACTCTTTTCATTAGTATCCATAATTCTTACCTTAGGAATTTATTCAGGGCCCTAGTACTATGAATTCTGATGACTAGTCAGAAACTTTTGCTGCTATGTGTAATTCAGCCATGTAGAAGCTAGTATTCTCCTATGGGATTTGAAGAACCAACAGATCAATTGAAAGGAATGAACTGGAATAGTATTGGTGCTTTCATCCATAATGAGCCCAGTGCAGGGCCTGTTACTAAGAAACGGCTTCCAAGAAAGGTTAGGCAAATCCCAGATTGTTATTTTCTTCCTCGGAGATCATTACCCTCTGCAATTGCCTTTTACGGGGCATGGATTGTTGCTGGAGTTGGTGCAGGGATGTTGGCAGAAATCTAGATAAACAAGAAGGTCAAAGGTATGTCCTTCATTAGCCTAAGGATGTGTTTGGATTTTGGATTTGGAAAGGGATTTGTGGAGGGAAAGGTAATGTGGAGAGAAGGATTAATGAACTAACTGTAATATAGCCAATAATGAACATTACCCTTCCCATCTTTAGAACAAGGATCCCGAAATTCTCTGTTAGCCTCAATTGTGCTCTTCTTCAATAATTCATTATACAATTTAAAAGTGCCCAACTGAGCTAACAATTATACAATATTCTGATTTAAACATCATGGTAATTCAAAATTGAAAGGTTTGTTGACATATTGAAGACAGCCTGTAGTAAGGCAATAACGTAGTTAATGCCTAACAACTTACCCAGGTGAAATGCTTCCCACAGCCAAAACTACTACAGAAATGCTCCCAATCAAGTATGGCACAAAGAAGCCCCAACCCTATGTGACAATTACATGTGGATACGAATGTTAGTAGATGTGAAAATGCCTCAATTTCCTTCCATTCTCTTTACAAAAAAATAAAATAAAATGTATTAGTCTGACAGCCTAAGCATAATACACATTAGTGCAAAACAAATATCTTTATTCATTATCCACTCTCTGTAGAACATTAAAGACATTAGAATCATTACTCACATTAAAACATATCAAAAGTCACTGAAGCAGCCATCTCGTAAGAAAGGAATGAAAGAAGCTTCTATGAGCATAATCCACAGTTACAATTGCACTTCTTTTATCCTTTGTTCCTTGAAACTTACAGAAAATAAACAATAGAAAGATTAAAAAAAGAGAAATTCTGAACTCTACATAATATGAATTTGTAATTAAACAGTTAAACTGAATTAAACAGATGTACATTGAATTAAACAATAAAGTTTTGAATTAAAAGCTGCCTACATCACTGAATTAAACAGTTAAACTACATATTTTGATACCAAGTACATTAACTAACAAAGTTTTCAAAGTAGTAAACAGATGTACATTATTTATGTACATTTATGCATAGATTTGTAAAACCATAACAAGAGAATCAATGGGAATAGGAAAGGAGGCAAGAGGTGAAGTAGAAGCATGTGTTGGGGAAGAAAAATGAGATTGAAGGACATGCGAATACTGTAGATTAACCTGTGTGAGAGGATAAGCGGTAGGGTAGTCTGAGGGAAGCACATAAGTAGGCTGAGAAGTAAGCCTGTGAGGACCAGTGGTGAGGTGGTTGAGATGCAGGACAAGGCTGAACTGATGTGGACAAATGCTGTGGAGGGAAAACAGTAGTGGTAGGTGAAGAAGAAGGCTGATAGGAAGAGGATATAAAGGTAGGGGAGGGAGACCAAAAAAAGGACTGTAGAGAGGACAGATGAGGGGTGGGGAGAGAAGTAATAGAAGAAAAGGGAAAAGCAGACTCTTGAAACCTAACATGCCTAAATAAGACAATTTTACCAATAAGAAGGTTGAGGCATCTATAGCCTTTGACAGAGGGGAGGTAATTGAGAAAAACACAAGGCTTAGATTTAGGGGCTAATTTATTGGATGAGTAAGGCCTAAGCCAAGGGTACCATACACCATACACACACACACTCACTCACACACACACACACACAATCGCCGGGTGAAATTCTATCTTGATCCCATAGCCACGCAGTCTACTTAGCTTAAAAGAATGTTAGCTTAAAAGAATTGACACCAAGAAAAATCTAACAACATAAAGTAATTGCAAAGTAGTATTTTGAAAGCAAAATGTAATAACCGAACAGCAGCACATAACACGTTACAGAGACAGAGCAGCACACAGCACACAGCAGCGCGAACTGTCAAACTTAGCAAACAGAGACAGAGCAGCTGTGCAAATCTGCACAGATTGTGGGAAAAGCAGTCACACAGCACAGCTGTCCGAATGGAAAATATGAACTAAGTATGAATTTGATTTTCAATTTGCTCTAACAGTTCATAGAAACCGTAGAGGAAATTAAAAGTACAAGGTTCAAATTACATGAAATTCAAGAGTAGGCATGAAATTCAAATTACAATTTCATCAATATTCTTAATTGCCCCCATGACATCAACAAAACAACCCGAACAAAGAAACAAACTGAGTTAAAACTCTAGGTTCGTATCTGTATCAAAATAATCCTAACCAAATTTAATAAAATCGGTGAGATTCAAAAGTATTATAATATAATTTTCATAATACTTAAATTGTCTGTAAAGACAAAAGCTAAATTTCCATCATCCAAACAAAATGACAAAGCTTATAAGAAATCACTAATCTTTTTCAAATTTTCTTCTCACTCTAGCTTCTTGGATTAGTATTTGTATCTTTATTCTATTCCTACCAAATCAAGCTTTAAATCCTAAATATAGATATATCTATATGAAAAACGATTTATAAACAAAAAATTCATATAGAAACTAGATCCACAATAATCTATCAATGACATTTATAAAATTATGATAATAATTATGGATATTTTGATTGAAAATAAAATGATTACAAGAAGTTACATCTTTATGAATATTTTTATTTAGTTTTATAAAAACATTGTTTATATATCATTATTCTAAGTACATAAACTAGAAGTTCAAAACACACATGATGCACATGTAGAAATGGAGATCCTTGTAACTATCATCTAACAAAAAACAAAATTGAAAAAAATTAAAAATGGCCACTGTCACTCTCTTGTAAAAAGAAGGATTGAACCCTTGATACATTTAGATAGGAACATTAACAATGGCCACTGTCACTCTCTTGTCATTATAAAATGGGTTTATTTATTATTGCATAGCTCATATTCTCAATTTAGATTACCACAAAAAAATTACAACAACAAAAACAAACAACAAATTTCATCAATCTCAGAAACAATTTGTCTGCAACTTTTAAAACTCTTTCTCACATATTTTCAAAGCATTTTCACTTTCATTTTGATATTAAACAATATCTCAAGAACTAGAGTTTAACATTTTTCACTCTAATTTTGACACTAAACAATAGCACAGAAGCACTCAAGAACTAGAGATGGCCCAAGCCTATTGAGGGCCTAGACAAATGAAATGTAGTTAGAATATGGTTTGATGCCTTACATTCGCCATTGCCATTCTATTATTGTCCCCATTCTACAGTAAGATAGTGCAACTTCTTGTGCAACTTAGATTGTCAAGTTAGGTGCTTTCAAGATCAACGGTATGGTTGAAAGGGTACAGCTATCCCAGGAGATCAGAGAGATTATTTGTCATCTGTTTTCAACAAATTATGTGTGAAAGGACGACCATGTTCTTTAATCATCATATTGAGCAGATTATCCTCTATTGTTTCTATGGAGTTCCAAAGGTTTGCAGTAGAAAGATGTGAGAGTATTTAGGCTATTGATTAATCACACTTTGTAATCCTAATTTCTTATGTGGTGGCCACAGATTTCTCCACTGAGGCTGACTTTTAAAGAAATTATTTTCAACTATAGAAATCAACGACAGTGTAAACCTCAAGTTTTTCGTACAGTTTGGTATGTTAATCACAATTTGTAATCCTAATTTCTTATGTGGTGGCCACAAATTTCTCAACTGAGGCTGACTTTTAAAGAAATTATTTTCAACTATAGAAATCAACCTCAGTGTAAACCTCAAGTTTTTGCAAGAGAAGAGGGGTAAAAACTTATGAATATATAAGTGATGTTGATAAGATACTTAAGTGTGACAAATAACGCCAACACAATGGAAATATCATCGTACAGTCAATATGGCATGAGTTCCACATAGTATACACTACAAAATTCCCAAACATTAACGCTAACACAATGCAAACATTTGAAACCATGCTACTACAGCAAATGCAAAGCACCATTGATGATTTAGAAGAGATACAAAAAATTCAAAGCTACTTTACCAGGTTAAATAAAACATCTTGGATACATCACAATTTGTAAACAACTGGGGAATTGGAATTTGTCTTATAACTTAAGCATGATATAAGAAGTACCTTCAAGTTAATCCATGCATATGGCAATCCAGTGGGGGTATGAAAAGCAGGTAGAAAGCGCCGCCCTAAATCTTCAGCTAGGATAAGAAGTTGATTCTTATAATTTCTTTGGACCAACCTGTTTGTAGAATCAATTGCAAGAATAGGAGCAGAAACATATCCTCCAAGAACTCTTATGTTGTAGTACACAACAGTGAAAACACCATTAAACACAATCTGATACTTCAAATGCAACTTGATTTAGCACTCCCTGCTAAAGAACAAAACAAAAGAAAAAGAAAAAGAAAAAGTGACATTGCTCAAGCTTTATTTCATTAGCAAACTGAGGCCACATTAAATGAAACTTTGAGTCAAACAACTTCACTAAATCCTAAATGAAAAAAATTAAAATACCTCAAAAAGGTTTATCCTTGCATCAACATCAAAAGTTAGATTTTGCAGAAAGCCAAAGAACAGCCCTTTCAAATTCTGTGTTGTTCCCCATGATAACAAGGCTGAGAAACAGAAACAGTATTAACATAATACTCTGTTACAAATACTTCAGTGGCATAATCAGTAATAATATGGAAATGAAATGAAATAAAAAGATATTTGGTAACAGCATAAGAAGGGCATATAAGATAAAAATACAACTACATTGATTTTTAAGAACGTTGTCTCTAAGAAAGAGTATATCATACCTGGATAGCGATTCTACAAGTGTGAGGGCAGATCCATGATACTCTTGTGGCAAATGTTCGAACTAAAATTTGAAACAGTAGGTATTTTAAATTATCCATTTAAAGCTGAACACTGCAAAAGATTTCAAAGATAAATAATTACCTTCAAATTTCCCAGCTTGACGAGGGAGTCAGTTAATGTTTTGGCTAGAGGCTTTAGTTCATCATGCTACAGAACCAATAGACCACAACTTCATAATATTCATCAAATATAAATAATATATCCTATAGTGGGAACTAGAACTGACCGGAAAAGCATAAGTCATATAGTTGTCATAAGCATGGTGAAACCTGAAAGGGAGAAAAAACAGAGGCACATTTGGAACATTTTCGCAGAAACAGAGGCACATTTAAATGATACAAAAAGAATCCAAAATCAACAATCCAAATCCACAATCCAAAATCCAAATGGACAATCCACAATTTCAACCACACCCATTCACGAAATTAGGAAAAACCCTAAAAATTTGTGTACGAAATAAATAGAAAATGAAAGGACAAAAAATGTCAAACCCTAAAATTAATCGTGAGAGAAGAGGATGGGAGAGACATCAAAAAATAGATAGAACCAGATCGACAGAGAGGGAAAAAGACGACAGAAACATACCTGCGATGGTGATGATCGCCGATTTGCAGTGGTGGTGGTGGCGAGCGCCGGTGGCCTGCGATGGTGATGATCGCCGGTTGTGAGCGACGGGTTTGTTAGGGACAGGTTTGGTATGTTGATGTCGGTGTGTGAGACAGAAGAGAACAAAAAACTCTGTGTGTAATATATATGTACTGGGCGCGAAAATTACTTATTTTCCCTCTAAAAAAAATTTCGAACATTTCGCGACTAAAAGATTATTTGTCGCCAAAAACCTTAATGGCGACAAACAATTGGTCGCCTAAAGATGCCTCTTTGGCTACTAAATTAAAAAATTCGTCGGCAATACTGAATAAACAACGACTAACCCAGCTTTGGTTGCAAAAAGTAATCACAAAAATGCCTGTTTTTAGGCGACAAAAGTTTTTAGTCGCCAAATGATACTATTCGGCGACAAAATTAAATGTTAGTAGCCTAAATTGGTAACAAACAGCGACGAAAGGGAAATTTGGTCGCCAATTATACTATATGGCGACTAAAATACTTTAGTAGCTAAAAAGGTTCAATCAATGCCGACTAAAGCTGTTTTTAGTCGCTCAATGTGGTGTTTTTGGCGAGTAAAATTGGTTTGGTCGCCAATTTTAGTCGCCAATTTTAGTCGCCAAACATGCATTTTCTTGTAGTGTAAGACACTCTATCATACGCTTTCTCAAGGTCGATAAACACTATATAAATGTTTCTTTTCTTTTCTCTATACTTTTCTATTACTCTCCTCAAAAGATAGATCGCTTTCATTGTTGACCTACAAGCATAAACCCAAATTGATTCTTTGACACCTCTGTTATATCTCGCAATCGGCGTTCCATCGCCCTCTTCCACACTTTCATTATGTGACACATTAGCTTGATTCCTCTATAGTTATTGAAATTCAAGACATCTCCTTTATTTTTATAGAATAGTTAAGTTTTATATATAGTTGAAAATTGAATACTACATGTTGTGGAGAAATATTTTTATTGAATGGTTGAGAATTGAATTAATGAATGAATGGATGAATAATTTTGTATATGCGCATGTTACATGTGGCATAAAAAAATATTACAGAATAAATTATCAAAACTAGATGAGACCTTTTGGTGACTAAACAAATATCACAAGTTAGCTTTTGACTACTAAAATTTTAGTCGCTAATTGTTAAAAAGTGAAACTTTTGACTACTAAATTTTTAGTCACCGATTGTGAAAAATGAAACTTTTAACTACTAAATTTTTAGTCATCAATTCTCAAAAAGTGAAACTTTTAGCTACTAAATAGTTAGTCGCCAAACATATATGCTCAATTGGCTACTAAATAATTTAGTTGCTAAAAGTCAAATATATATATATATATTTAATTATTTTTAAAAAATATACGGCGACTAAAGTTTTAGTCGCCGATAGGGCACTTTTGGCTACCAAAAAAATTTTAGTCGCCGATTGTCTTCCCCGAAGAACTATTGGCGGACAAACTGGCGACCAAATATATTAGTTGCCAAAAGAAATTGCCGACTAAAATAAGGCTTCGGGCGACTAAAATTTTAGTTGGCAAAAGTGAAATTTCTTGTAGTGTATCATCTCTATACTTTTCTGCACATCTGTTTGTAAAAAGTTAAAAAGTATACTTATTTAAATCATGTCAAATAATCCCATACTATGACATAAAAATAAGAAGTAACTTCTTTCCAGTCCAATTACGGATTAGAGAGGCCCAATCCTGCCACTGTGGGCTCATTTTGGGTCCATTATGATAATCCAAACCATTCATATTGTGGGACTCATTACACACATTATTTATACTAAAAATAATGTTGATCAGACATTGGTAGCCATTTAATCGGAACAAACATATCAAAAACCAAGCTCTAATTAAATTACCAAACACAAACACAACGGATATATATATATATATATAGAGATTTAGAGAATCAAACCAGGCTGCTTATTGTCACGACCCAAACCCGGCCCTATGGGTTTAGCACCGTAACCGGCCAGTAATCCGAGATTACCGAAGGCCTGCTTAACAGTAATACAGTAAAACAGAGTACAGGGCCTGGCGGAAGCCAATACAGTAATTAAACAATGTCCAATGAGCTGTGACAGTCTGTATGCCAAAAAGATTTTTCATGCATTCATACATAAACAGTACAGAAAGCATTCCGTCTGTACAAAACAGTACGGTCTATACAAAATTTACAATCACACAGTACAGGGACCTAATCCCTTGATAACGGTACGGTAACAGTCAGTCTATACAGAACAGTCAGACAGTATGGAGACAGGCGGGGGAAAAACAAACAAAACCCCCCCAAGCCATAGCATGGCAACTCGGAACCTCGCAGTGAGGCACAAAGGCTGGCTTGACAAAACTGGAGTTACCCTGACGCTCCTAGCTCCGATCTGGTGCCTGGACACCTACATATATATATGAGCAGTGAGCTAAAACCCAGTGAATAACATAAAGCGTAAAGAGGTTTAGAATGAATGTCCTTACAGTAGTGAAAACAGTTCAATTCAATCAGTATTTCAGTCGTTCAGTACAGTAAACAGTCATATGTGGTACATCCATTAGCATAACAGTAACAGTAGGTCTTAAAAGACCAAACAGTAATGATGGCCATCAATCAGTAAACAGTAGTGGCTCCACGAGGGAACCGACAGAGAATTCTGCCACAGTAACAGTAAACAGTAAGTACTAAGGATGCCACAGTACAGTTCAGAAATAAAGGACATACATTCATTCAGTAAATAATACCAGTTCAGTAAACAGTTCAGTTCAGTATTCAAAAGATAATCAGTTGAACATATCTTTACACAATCGTTACTCACAGAGTTCGGGCTACAGTATGCTAGAGCGTGTCTCCCCAGTTGCCAACCCTACACAGTTCACAGGTTGAACACACACTAAGCTACACAGTTGGGAAATATCATAACTTAATCCCTAATGCCTCGGTGTGTTCTACATCTATATCCTCAACAAGATGCCTTAAACTAGGCCTAAGAATGCCTAGAATGGGATGAGGATGCAAAGATGTACATTTAAAAGCATT